GTAAAGCATGGCAAGAAGTTCGATGGACATTCAGCCGTAAAAGAACACTTCCTTATCGAGAAATTACAGGAGGGATTGATAAATGGTACGACGTTTGTGTTGTCAGCTTCTCTTGTGCGTGTGCCTGTATTCGATGCCATCTTTCATTATAAATCGATAAACGCAAGACGCAACGTAGGTGTTGAGGAACGCTCAATAAATGACCATGTGTCAGTCAAACAGGATGGAATTGACCAGAAAGGTGGACGTTTAAGGTGATCACTTCTGGGCGAGAAGAGTATTCAATTTTCGAGGAATCGAACAACTCTTTTCACTTGTTTCTTTTACCCTCTAGGAAAAATATCTTCTAGCTGCGTTCCTTGTTAGCTCCTTCCTGACCGTGGGCCAGTGTGGTATTTCACGTAACTCAGAGAAATAATAATGTTCGCAGACCTTGTTGCCAAGGAACCACAAGTGAATAACTGCAATTTTTCGTGTTCAGGCCAAATTAAAAAAAAAACATCTGTGATACTATTTGTAAAAAAAATCTTACACACGAAGTTTTCGGGAAAAACGTGCCAGGCCACCCCCGATGCCATAGACACCATTGTCTAGGCCACTCGGGAAATGACAACATACACTTAAAAAATGGAAAGATTTGTAAATTCACTACAAGGACCTGTGTTCGCGAAAACTTGTTATATACTAGAATCCTTCGGAACTATGCAAAATGTTTTACACAGTTTTGACGCTGGGCACGTCAGTAGCAAAAGTGAGTCTGCAAGAGCAAGTTGAAATTAAAAACAAATAAAAACTGTGAAATTCGAATACACACATTCATAAGGCTACACTTTAGTCAATATTATCTTTCAGCGGCTGTCTTTCTCAATTTGATACATTGGTCGTAATGTTGTTAGAGTGCGAAATTTCTCTATTAAGTTTGCACAAAAATAGAATTCGTGAGTACTTCAAAACCTTGGAAAAGACACACATGTGAACCCGGATGATGACAGATGCGTGCGGAGCGAGGTGGATGGAGGCCTTCAAATCAAAGCCTCTAAACACGGGTGGGCAAAGAGCGTGGTGGAAGTGGTCTCGTACGTGACGTCAATGACGAACAGTGACAAGAATGTGTGGTTGTTCCAGGATGCCCAGTCTGTCAGGCCGACGCCAAAGCATACCGATCGAGGGGGGCGCGACGCACTGGCACCACTTCTGGCGTTGTTGACAACTGCCAAGTGAGATTGATGCGCGCAATCAACCCGAGGGGACGTCGATATCGCCGATGTCGATGTGTTCGCGCCTTGTCCGACGAGTGTGGAAGGGGTTATAAAGATGGAGCGTTGGAAAGAGATGGGGCAAGGTTATGTAGGTTAGGCAAGTGTGAAGGCCGGACAGCGAGCGATGGCGCCGAAAGTATGGACGACAGAAGAGGAAAGCACGAGGTCACTCTGGGAAAAGCTTCCTCGACACAAGACGAAATGAAAAAAAAAAGCGCTGCCCATGATTGATATCCTGTTTTTCGATATCCAAGCTCACTTTTCACTGGCGTTTTATTCGAAAGGTGTATCATATTTTATATGTATATATATATATATATATATATATATATATATATATATTATATATATATATATATATATATTATATATATATATAGTCCAGTAGATCCTCCGTGCGTGGTCACAACGTGGTTTATTTCGACGTTTCGGCCTAGAGTCTGGCCTTCATCACGATTAAACGTCCAAATAAACCACGTTGTGACCGCTCACGGAGGATCTACTGGACTATATGCAGCGCTACAGCCACTCAACCACCATATATATATATATATATATATATATATATATATATATAATATATTGTCTCGCCACGGTTGTCTAGTGGCTAAGGTACTCGGCTGCTGACCCGCAGGATGCAGGATCAAATCCCGGCTGTGGCGGCTGCATTTCCGATGAAGGCGGAAATGTTGTAGGCCCGTGTACACAGATTTGGGTGCACGTTAAAGAACCCCAGGTAGTCAAAATTTCCGATTTCCTGAGCCCTTCACTACGGCGTCTCTCATAATCAAATTAGTGGTATTGGGACGTTAAATTCCACAAATAATATAGGTATATAAGTACAGAGTCACCGCTCACAATATATATTAAAGAAGACAGTGGTTGATTGAATAAGGACAACAATACTCATGAGGTATCTCGGCTCTTTTGTATTGGTTTTTTTTTCGCCACCCGTGTATCCCATGCAGGTTTTTACAGAATAATTGTGCTTTGCTTGCACAGTTACTCTCTAGTATCTTTTGAAAAACACAAACTTGATTGATTGATTGATTGATCGATCGATTGATTGATTGATTGATGGATACGTGGGTTTAACGCCCCGAAATCACCATATGATTAGGAGAGACGCCGTATAGTGGAGGGCTCCGGCAATTTCGACCTCCTGGGGTTCTTTAACGTGCACCTAAATCTGAGTACACGGTCTTAAGTATGCAATCTTTTCCCATTGCAAATGGTTTTCGGGATATTGGCTTATATTTTGCACCTGTTGTACCACTATTTGAGTGAGAAGTCCATAATTCAGAAAGTTTAGCCAGCCTAAATGATACCAAGCAGTTGTATTAAACACTTGTTTCTAAGATATGTTTATTCATGCTTAGCCTAAGCCACCACCTAATAATTTGGAACAGTGTCGTTTCTAATAGAAATAGGAAGCAACGCCAAAAGTATTTTCATTCTTTTTGTTCACTCTCAAATTGCGTTCTTCCCTGAAAAACAACCCTGCTGTTTCGATAACCATCCCTGTTATCTTTCACGCCTTGCCTTTATTCTCTTGCTTTCTGCTAAGTCTACTTAACCATTCTTTCCGGCGAACAATAGGTTAACCAGCCAGGCCCATCATTCTTTGACCATCACAATTTCCCGCCTTTCCATCTCAGTTCCCCTCTTTCCGTCTCTCTCTTCGAGGAGGAAATGTTGACACTTTGCTGTAACTTCAATTTGCTCCAACGACCTTTGCTTATGTGGTCATGGGTTTCATTTCCTGCCTTGACAGCTCCTCTTAGAGAGAGGTGGACGTGTTTATAGGAAGGGGCTAAGATATACGTCCAAAAATGAGTGGCGGTCACTACCAATGCAGTGCCTTATACGTACGCACGTGAAGGATGTTGGAGTAATTGATATTCTAGTACAGGGGTGGAGGCTACGTCTTGTCAAGCGGTCGCATCTTTCTCAACGCAGCAACCAGCCTTGAACAGGACAAGCCTTTTGCCTTGACTTTGTCACTGGCAAAATAGATAGATAGATAGATAGATAGATAGATAGATAGATAGATAGATAGATAGATAGATAGATAGATAGATAGATAGATAGATAGATAGATAGATAGATAGATAGATAGATAGATAGATAGATAGATAGATAGATAGATAGATAGATAGATAGATAGATAGATAGATAGATAGATAGATAGATAGATAGATAGATAGATAGATAGATAGATAGATAGATAGACAGATAGATAGATAGATAGATTTCGCAACAGCGTCGGCCTCAGCTGACACTTGAATTCTATCGAGAAATTTGTGAAGCCGTTTGTTGCCACGCCATCTCAACCTTTGTCGGGAAAGGAATGTTTCTTTGGGTAGTGAACACGTGTTCGATGAACTGCAGATGTAGACTTCCTAATATTATATTGGCTTAATCATCTGCTCACTCGTGCTTTCCTTTTTGTCGTGTGCGCGTCTCACGTGTGCTGCAAGTGAGTCGCAAATAATTTGGTGTCTAGTCAAGGAGTAAACAAAAGTTGGAAGTTCAGCGTCAACCTGTTGCCCGCCAGTGCCTTCTTCCCTCTTGCCTTTCTCAATCCTTGTCAAACTTAGCGGCGCTATAGCAATACGGCATTATAATGAATCGACATGCCCGCTCATCGGTACTTGGCAAAATACGAAGTTAAGCCATGAAATGCACCAGGGAACCCGAACGTCGACGTGCTGGTGCCACTACGAGACAGCCAACTGTCAGTGTCTCCCACAGACATTCTGTTTTCCTGTCCCTTTTCTCTCCTTTTCAGATGACCCTTCCGCTTGCCCCTCCGTCTGTTAGTCGTCGTGAACTCTTCCCAAGCACAGGCTAACAAAGAAAGTGCTCTTCTTCTAGCTTACCATTTATCTATCCCGCTCGAAAAGTCATTATTCTAACCGTTCATCTGCATCCTCTCACTCTAGAAAGACACGTATACAAAATTTGAGCCTTTCTTGCTGCGAAGACATGCTTTCATGCATGACTAAAGCACTCGACTTGTTTCCTTTTTGCTCCAAAGAGGTCAAGGATGCAGCGCATGCTGTCAGTTTGAGATAAAAATAAAAAAATAAAAGACGGAAACAGAACTATTTCCAGCAGAAAGATCGAGGATGCGCAGCCGTCCCTCCTCCAACATCCCTTTGATGCGCCCGCAAAAACTTCCAGTACCCAACGCACGCACCGCCACAGAAAAACAATAAATAGGATGTGCCAGAAATAAATAAGCAAAAAAAAATGCGGCGATCTGAAAAGAGTTTTGAATCCGCAAATATAAGCAAAACCATGAAGCTCGTGGAGCTGTGGCGGCCGCTCTTCTGATTTTGGAAACAGCCGAGCTCGCGTAGACGCTGGTTCACGTGTACAAGCAAACCAGTGCGCGCACATGCGTGTATAAATATACACCGCAAGCGGGCGGACATACACGCATACACGCCTTGGTGGCCAACGCCCTCCGCCTCCTTCATTGCCGCGTACACTTCCTATAACGGGGCAATATGCGAGGCATGCGCTCTCGCAGAGGTGCCAAGTGGGCGTTCCTATACCTCCTTGCACTTCTCCTATTTTTCCGAAGAGATGTAAAGACGTAGCGAGAGAAAGTTGAAAACAATAGAGAAAGTCCAAGAACAGGAAAGGAATGAGAGAGGGAGAGGAAACCCGTCTGGCCAGTGTCGTGGCCACCACGGACGCCGCCAGCGGGGCAGGCCGTTGCTTGCACGCGCGTATACGCTAGCCGACGACGGGAAGTCTGAAAGTGCCGGCGCGTGCTATCTCGTCGCTCGCCTGTATCGACGGCAGGTGAGAAATGCATTTCCTATGCTGTATCATCGACACGGAGTCATGACGAAGACCTCCCGGCGGAAGCCAAGAGCTACGCTGTAATCCACCCTCTTCTTTCTGACGTGTTCACCCGCGCATTTTCCTGTTCCCACCATGCAATATCTCGGAAACAGCTGGTACTCACGTTCATACGTTGTGTGGCGTGTACGCGCGTGCGAGTGACTCTCCGTGCCATCTTGGCGTCATCGGTGTTGGTTTGTTGGAACGAAAGTAAGTGGTGCTTTCCTCGGTACTCTTAGACGGAGAAGGAGAAAACCCAAAGGTGACCTTCTTCCGATCTTCGTATTGTGGTGCTACCCAGGAAAAATGGCCTGATCTGGTGTAGAATGTATCGTCGTATATAAAAAAAAAAAGAATACGTGATGCGTACTGCTGTACGACTCGTCAGCTTCTGACGTGATCGCGTGCGTGCTTTCCTTTTGTCGTGCGTACCTTTTCACGCACGATTCCTCGTCGTTTCAAGGAAGACTTCATCATCTCTTACTTAGGCGCTCAACGGTGCAATTGTCGTTGTCACGAGTGAAAAAAAAAGCTATGGCCATTACTCGTCATCAGAAGAGGATGCATAAAGAAGAGTGCGATGTGAACGTGGAAATAGTTCATCTCACTTTTTGACTCTTTTCCCGCAAAGAGATCGCGCACATCGCAACGTTGCTTTTCACACAGCGTTGACTCTGCTGCCCGCAAACGAGAACGTTCATTACCACGCCTGTCCAGTGCCTACTACGCCTCTCTTTGATGGCAATGCAGTGCGCGTGTATCAGAACACGTCCGCTCACGCGTCAATACAACCCCTTGCTCTTGCAGCACACCTCGGCTCGAATGAACGTGAAGGATTCGGCGTTTTGCTCCACGATTCAAAAAATAAGGTAAAGAAAGTGGGTGGAGAGAAACGAGGCGGCACGTCGGCCTTAGAGACGCGGAACCCAGAGGCACGAAATATACACAACCAAAGCCGTGCGCTTTGTTGCCGACAAGGCCAATCAGGCCGCAGATCAGATGACGTCTTCAACGGTACGCACGTGTCCCCAAACAAGCCGTGTCTCGCCGGATGAAAAAGAGAAAGCTTGTTGAGACGTCCATCGGCTTCGAGCTGACAAGGGAGAGTGAGACTGGCCTCTTGTTGACAACAGTGGTGCGCTGTCCGGCATATGTTGTGTCCTGGTTTTCTGGTATCTTTTACATGGTTGGACTGAACCGCGACAGGTGGTAGTGATCTAGATGGTGAAGGGATACGGACTGCACTTGAATTAAAGGCAGACTTGCCGGGAAGCGAAATACCAGCGCCTGTGCGATAAACGATGAAGCGTGCTGAAGAACATACATGAAAACGGCCCGAAAGACGTACCCACGACATAGCCCGTTGGTTGTACGACGTCGTCAAGCACCAAAATTGCCGATGGTCAATGAAGTACTAAATAAATAAAAACCAAACGGCATACCTCACGGAATGGTGAGTGTCAAAACATGAAGGACCGGTGAACGGCCGGGCGATCGTAATTTTTTTTTTGCTTCGCTTTGCTGGCGCCGGCACGAGAATACTGCGATTGCCGAACCATTGCTTTTTCCGCTTTTGTTATATCCGAACACTGACTCGTAAAGTACGACACTCCATCATCGTTCGCCCGGCCTACGAAAAAAACAAAATTGAAATACCGCATTATTGAAAGCGAAATGTGGTATCTATCAAACTAAACGTGAAAGCACGTTGTGTGCGCAAGTGTACACTTCGATTTCGCGCTTGGACGACCCCGAAACTTGATGGATAAAGGACAAATTTATCCGTAGAGGTCATCAGCGCCAAATAACAGCGGTGCGTTTTATTTCGTTCGCGCACCATTGAGCAACGGAAACTCTGCGTGCGGCGGACAGTTTTATTATTTAGCAGAGCCTTTGAGCGGTGACAAGAACAGCGGCGATGACATTGGTGTTGTAAAGAAAGACGTCAGCGTCAAGTATGCAGCGCGGCTAGCAATCTTCTTCCCAACACTGAGTGAAGGTCGGAGCTGAGGCGTCGAGAAAGGGAAGGAAACGAGTAGACAATCCGGAATTTCTTTCTGATTCTTTCGCGCCGGTGCGGTGAGCGAAAAAAAATTGCTGTTTACGTTTTCTCGAAGGAGAGTGAGAGATTGAAGCAGCGAAGGAGGAGGGCTCGGCCAGCAGCTGTAAGCAGCCTAAGATTCTTGCGTCGGCTTCGCGCGTGGACACACTCAGTCACCAGCTGACGAAACCACGGGGAGCTTCCGCACGAGCGCTTGTTGTGGAACATAGCCGAGTGAATCAGAGGACAGGGCCAGTGCGCGCTGACCTTGCTGGTACACGTTGTGGTGGCGTTGTTATTGCTGGTGGATTGCGGTGCTTGATGGTTTGTGTGTTTTCGTGTCTCGTTGTTTGGCTTTGTGCGCTTCGTCTACAAAGCGTTTCGGTGTACCGAAGATTTTTGTGAAACGCCGCGTCGTGTTAGCGGTAAGAACTGAGCTTGGCTCGGGCGCGCAAGGACGGCTGGGTCGTCGACTGAATGTCCTTACCATCGTGACAAGAGGTCTTGGTCGACGAGGGTGTACTCGCCTTGAGAAGCCCCGCTGCGGACGAAGGTAATGTGGCGAAGGTCTATTCTCCTCGCGTAGGCGCAAGGACGCGTGGTAGTCATGATTGTATCTACGTGGCGGTGTCCTTAATTGCATATAGCGTGGCACCGAAGTGTATGCACTAACCAACCTATGAGTCTTTATCGAGCCGGCTAATGAGCGGCGCATGCTTTAATGCTTCCAGGCTCGTAGTGGGATTCAATGTTAGTGCAGGCCATGCGCTGGAGCTCATACAAAAAAACGTGCAAATAGATCAATTTTAACAGTAGATGTAGAAAAGATTCAAAAGAAGAACAGTCTGCAGTAAGTTGTCCGCTTAAACAAATAACATGTAGTCATGTGGATGTAGATACGCAAGGCCAGAAGCACGTGCTGTTGGTATAGTCGGCCCATGTCATGCATGAACATAAAATCAATGGCCATTTCATGCAACGCATTAAAGAAAAAGGTAGCAGGTTCAATGTGAGTGCCGCCGAAAGCAACTGCCTTTGCATTACACAGCGAACAAAGCATAATTACGTAAGCGAAACGCTGCAATGAAGCACTGAGCGCAAGAATGGGTCGCATTTCAAATATTACAATGCAAAGCGCGTGAGGCTGCTATGACGGATCACAACAGCTCTTATGACATGAGAACGCCGCCTTTATTTTTGAACTACTTGGACGATGCTCAAGGAATTCTTTCTGGTTATTGCTTCGTAGTCGGGTAGGGATACAGCTGTCGATCAAAAGTGCGAAATCGTGTTTTATGCCATGCAATTAATTATAGGCTGATAATTAATATCGCAGCCACTTAACCTAATACTTTGTAACCACTGCAGCGTAGATAATGCCCCAACAAGCAAGGTTGTTTACCTCATTGCCAAGTGAAAGGCGTTTCTCTTTCAGAGTATGAAAACTTTTGACATTGCTTCAACAGACGATTTTAGTGGCAATATCTCGCGCAGCCACCCGTGTCCGTTGCGGGTACCGCGGACGAAAAAAAATGAGTTCGAACTAGAATGCAACACAGGAATTCAGTGTAGTACTCATTGTTATACTACAGAGCAACGCCACTGTTTTAAACTGATTTGAAAAAAGACCCTACAGAGGCATCACTTCTGGCGGTAAACCGTGTTAGCAACAACGCAAGCACTGCCTGGCAGGGGTGTGGTATAACGCCAGACGCCACTTGTCTAAATTGAGCAAGAAGTGGGTTGCTTAACATCGAAACCATCGTGAGAGCGCAACAAAACACAAGACACAGGATAAAACAGACGATGACGCACGCTAAAAGCTGCCGACTCATTATGAACAGCTCAGACACAATTCATCATCATCAGCCACGGTGTCAGCAAGGTACGTTGTTACGTACGCTTACATATTGGTCTACAGACGCCTTTGTGGATACTGCAGTACCTAGGAAAATGACAATAGATTGTAAAGAAGTGGGTACTTCTCAACACAACATGCTGATACGCCCTAAAGAGTTTATAACTAACTTTGCGAAGGCCATTTTTTTTTCAATTGTACTGTCACTGTGCTGGGTGTGCCGCACAGGTTTGTATAAAATGACTAACTTTCAGTTCAGTTATGTTCTGCTGTAACTGTTTTGCTGTGCAGAGGTTGAGGTTCATATGATCTGGGCTACTGGCCACTCTTTATCGATAAGTTCAGCAGCGACTAAAAAATAAACGAAAGTTTCCTAAAATTAACACACAGCAAAAAAAAAATAAACGTAATGGCAGACTCAAACAAGTTGAAATAACATGGTAATGTGGTTTGCTTGCGGCAGTTTACACCGTAATAAAAGATTCCCATGCACACCATTCCGCTTTAACTCACAGCATTTGTACTAATAATAATTTCATATATCAAAATACTAAACTTTCTGGAGCATTTTCATTATGTGAATTCACGATACCTTGAAAAGGCGACGTACTTTAACAGTCCTTTACTAATGTGCGTCCAATTCAAAATTTATTAGTGACACAAAACACGAAAGGTGGATAAGAAGCTGCGTTGCTTTAAGTACATCGACTGGAAGAAAATGCCGTGAGATTGCCCATTTATCTTACATGGAAGAACAAAGGATTGTCGCGCTGTTTCACGCTGCGTCTGCTGCTGACCTGAACGCCTCAACAACTTTCAATGCCTATCGTGCGTCAACTAAGCCGCGATCGTTACGGCCTCTATGGCTGCTATCGTAAAAACAGTCTCCTTTGTTTCCACTTCATGATGCGTGCTTCCTAATTTCATAAAGCTTTCATGCATTGTTTTTTTATTCAACTCGACATCGTAGCCAAGCACAACTAGATAGATAGATAGATAGATAGATAGATAGATAGATAGATAGATAGATAGATAGATAGATAGATAGATAGATAGATAGATAGATAGATAGATAGATAGATAGATAGATAGATAGATAGATAGATAGATAGATAGATAGATAGATAGATAGATAGATAGATAGATAGATAGATAGATAGATAGATAGATAGATAGATAGATGCTCTTGGTGTAGGTGTTGACTATAGTAGCTGCATTTAAAAATATACGCATAGCCAACACGTACTGTCACGCTCTTCAAGACACGCAAATCAGTCCTTCATAAAGTTTAATATGTGCAGACCTCAAAAACATCAACAACGCTCTCGTATTATTTTTCCATTGAACTAGGTAGAAGTATTGATTGAAGATGTAACGACCGCTGATAAGTCGATTCAGTTATACAAAGATAGCGAGGCTTCCATAATGATAAATAAAAAGAACTTGCGCAGCTTTCGCTAGTTGTGCAACGGTGGAACCAAAACTAAAGCTTGGTGGCCTTCGTTGTCTCTCTTCAATTTCACGTTTCTTTCTTCCTCGCTTTTTTCTCTATCTTCTGCTTGCTTTTTCCTTTCCCTTTCTATTTTCTCTGGATATTAATTTTTCTTTCTATCTCGCTTTTATATTCCTTCCCCTGTCCTTCTCTCTCTCGCTCGCCATTCCTCTTTTGTTTTGCTATTTTTCATTGCTTTCTGTATCTCTGTTTTTGTTTTCTCTTTCTCTTTCTGTCTTTCTTCTTGTCTTTCTTTGTTGATCCCTTTCGTACTGTCTCACTTCGTGTCCTTTTGTTTCTCGATATTTTTATCTCTTTTCGCTTTCTTTCATTCTTTTTTTCTCCTCTCTAGGCTCGTTACGTCCTCCATTACATCCCACGCCAGACACATCGGCGCTGTGGTAGGCCACGTGCGCGGTGCACGTGTTCAGCGACCCAAAAAGAAGGTAAAGATAAAGAAGAAGAGAGCATTTTCAGTAAATCATGATGAGAGTTTTGTGTCGAGGCAAACCGGGGGCATGCCAAGCTTAAGAAGTCCAGCTTTTCAATGATATAATTGCCGACAGCTGCTTCACAATTTCAATATCCTAAATGTGCACTTCTATCACGCTATCTACTGCTCTCAGGTCATATCAATGGACTAATTGCTCTTAAAGAATTTAAGTAACATTTGGGGGGGGGGATGTAGTGTTTATTGCTTCTTCCAAACAACGTCATTCACGTTTATTGATGGACCAAAATATTATTTGCTTGTAATCGAGCAGTCACTAGTGCCTCAGAAACATTCAACGTCATCCTTCCGTACAATGCACTTGATAGATTTTGCACGATGTGAAAATGACCTAGCCCCGCCGCGGTGGTTCAGTGGCTAAGGTACTCGGCTGCTGACCCCAGGGTCGCGGGATCGAATCCCGGATGCGGCGGGTGCATTTCCGATGGAGGCGGAAGTGTTGTAGGCCCGCGTGCTCATATTTCCGTGCACGTTAAAGAACCCCAGGTTGTCCAAATTTCTGGAGCTCTCCACTACGGCGTCTCTCATAATCATATGGTGGTTTTGGGACGTTAAACCCCAAATATCAATCAATCAATCAAAACGGACTACGTTGTACATGTGTACGTATGCACATTCCACGAGCTGTGCCGAGCGACATTTCGTGCGCTGACGAGCGTGGCTGTGCGAATGACCGGAATCGACATGAAGAATGCTCATTGTCTAAATCTTTAAAATGTCAAGATAAGTATCCAAGTCGATCCCGCCATGCGGATGACGTATTGGACGCTGTTCTTCGTTACGAGTGCGCGAAATCTCGCGGCCAAAAAAGCGAATCATGCTCGCTCAACGCCATTTGAAGTGCCGTTTCTCGGTGTTCGACATTTCGTATCATCTCAATTAAATGCCGAAGCGAAACGAGCTGCTTTCTTTAACCTCTGCTGGCTCTCAAAGAATGAGACAAAGGGACAACGCCCTTGCTTCACGGTGGCTGTTCTTTATCCGAATTCCTCCTTTTCTTCTCGTTCAAGCTAGCTGGGCTCGCGCCAGTGCCCGAGCACCGCTCTTGCTTTTTTAAACAGTATAGCTCGAAAGCAATCGATGTGGTTGATGGCTTATTAAAAATGACGACAACGATTGGTGCATGTATTGAAGTTATCGGTCATTACGCGAGTGTGAAACGTACGTTCATGCGAAGAGTAGTTGTGGCCTTGTTGGACTATTGTCAATGTAACCTGCTAAGTTTACCCAGTAATGCAATGAATGCCAACAGGTCTAACGCACCCTCTCAAAATGTACAAGCGAGTTCACTCTTAAAGGCAGCATTTGCATGCAGGGCATGTTCATATTTGGCTACGGAAACAAGACAGTGGAGTATATTTGAGCGAAAATTCTGGAGTTAACAGATCTGACTGTTTCGGACACACTAAGGCCATGCACAGAATCTTCCCGCATGCACTTACAATTTTAATCTACCAATTAAAAAAGATAGAGGGTTTCTTTAAGATTGGAGTATACTGTACGAGGAACAAAGCTTCCTTGCGTCGTTCTCGTTGCACCAATGATATGGCGCGCATGACATGACGTGCATATTTGTGCTTCTTGCACCAACATTCCGTAAGTAGGTGTGATATAAACGAGGTCGTTCATCGGTACTGACCTAACGTTTCTACTATCGGTATCACATGGTGCTCCGCTGATTGCAATTAAACC